GGAAGCGAGAGAGGTGTGTAAGGATCGTGCCAAATGGAAGTCCATAATCTCTGCCTACCCCTCTGGGTGACAGGCGTGAGTGTTTATGTTATGATATGTTATGTCTTAATGATGAGTAAGAATTAATATTCCACGCCTAATAGTACCGCTCACAAATCACTTTATAATAAAATATTGAAAATAAAGTGTATATTGTGACTTATGTATAAGAAATAGGCCTATAGTATCGCGTACTTTTAGATGAAGGAAAGATCTATATTTATGTAGAACAGTTTTTACGTATCACTAACCATTCGCTTATGCACGCGGAGCGCTTTTTCTTCAGACTTGCTTAACGAAATTCAATGTTTAAAGCTAGCTGAGTACTGCAGCCTAATGTTAGATTGCCTATACCATTCCTCGTGAATCTGGCTATCATATACAATATGTAACAAAAACCATGTGGTTCCCGTTAAGTACGTTATCAGGATCATTATTTAAACGTATAGAAATAACTTTTTTTAAAACCTCGAACAATTTTTGTTTATTTTAAAAAAAAAATTGTATGCAAATTCTATGGGTTTTCAAAGACCCCGCTTTACTTAGCTGTAGCATCGGCTAGTGTCAGTAAGAGGTAATAAAACCACATAAAATTATTTTTTTTAAATAAAATATAAAAATATGATCGTTTTTAAAAAAATATTTCTATAGGTTTGAATACTGATCCTGATAACGTACTTACCTGGAACCACATGGTTTTTATTTCATGTTGTATAAAGAATTTATCAAATTGGATTGGTAATTCCAGAGATTAACGTGTTTAAATAAACAAAAACCTTAAGCTTTATTGTATTATTATTGTATTATTATTAGTGTGTAAAAATTGGAAAATATGTTAGTGAAGAGGCTAATATAACTTATGGAGTTCCTCAAGGTAGTGTTCTTGGTCCAACGCTGTTTTTGATTTATATAAACGAACTTTGTAAAATTAAACTCGATCATGGGTGCATATTTTCTTACGCGGACGACACTGCTGTTGTTTTTACTGGTGAAACATGGAATGATGTACGCACTACTGCAGAACAAGGTCTTGCTAAAATTGCTAGATGGTTGAACTTACATCTCCTATCTCTGAATACTCTAAAAACATACTACATTTGTTTTTCTATTTATAATAATTCTCAACCCGATATAAACTTTGAGATAAAAATTCATAACTGTGGTAATGCTAATAACTGTTCATGTAGTCCAATTACAAAAGTTTCAAAAACCAAATACCTAGGCGTAATGGTAGATCAACGGCTCACTGGGCATGCACATTTAGAATTAGTTATGGATAGAATCCGAAAGCTCATATGGATATTTAAATCACTGAGACACATTGTAAATAGGCGCCTTTTAAATCAAATTTATAATTCACTGGTACAACCTGTAATTGTGTATTGTATACCTATATGGGGTGGGGCCGCGAAAACCAAATTTCTGGAGTTGGAAAGAGTTCAAAGATCCATGCTAAAGGTTATGTTTTTTAAAAGTTATAAATATCCAACAGAATGTTTGTATTCAATTTGTAATAACCTAACAGTAAGAAAATTGTACATATTGCATACAATCTTAAAATTACATAAAACCTTAACATATGACTCAAACTTACTAAATAAAAGAAGAAAATATATAGTTGCTCCTGTTGCTACAGTGAATTCAATGTTTGCTAGACGACAATATAACACAATTTCTGCTTATTTATACAACTTAATTAATAAATACATTAATATATATTCACAAAATAGGTACAAATGTAAAATGTTATTGCAAACTGGCTAATAACAAAAAGTTATGATGATACGGAAGCTCTTTTCACAGCAGCGATAAGCTCTAGTTAAGGTAGTGGCATATATATATACACACAACCACATCCACTCACTCACTTACACACACACACACACACACACGCACGCACGCACGCAAACACACACACACACACACAAATTTTGTGGAAGTGACTTGTTATGGAAGAGCAGAATCTCCTAACACAGGTATCTTTTTTACTTAAAAGGAGATTCCGGACACGGTTAAAACTGTATGAATTATGTTACTGAAATAAAGTTTATTTTATTTTTATTTTTATTTATTATTAGTATAGATTCTATCTCATTCTCTCATATGCCTATTCTTATTCTATAGATTTATATATTTATCTATTTTAGTGTCGCTTTTTCGTTTCATTGACTTTCAAATCGCAACGATGCTAAAGAAGTTTTCACATCAAAAAAATATAATCTCAGACTCAAAACGTCAACAATAATATGTTAAAGGTTAGTAAAATACATTACTCATTTCCATTCTATTTTATTCAAATATCTACATATTTATTCTTATTAAATCTATAAACTATAAATAAAATGCGGACGTCGCAATTGGGTAGTTGACCACCATCAACAGCATATAATTTGAATTTGCTACTTTTAGGTGTTTTAATATTCGATTAACTTTCGAATACCTATAACGTGAATAAGATTTTTTTTTATAGAAATATTTGTTTGGACAACTCATAAAAGGTATTTCAATTGACTATGGTGTTAAAATACCCAATTAAGACTTATATAAACAGAGGCATTCCGTCCAAAACGCGGTTAAGTTAAGCATCTTCTTGCATTTAAAAGAAGTATTAGCCTACATTAATTACTAAAATAAAATATTACACTATCATAAAAACAATAATTAGATAATTGCACATAATGATTTTTACAGATGCCTTTTATTTGTATAAAGTAGTAACAAAAGTTATAATAAATTCTTATAACACAAAACTGCTTACTTACGATGTTAGGTGTTCGTATAACACAATATGCTCGCAACAGTTATATATACATGACATTGCAGGCTTGTAGGTAATACACACAGAAAGTCATTGATCAAGTTAAATTGCTATAGATTTTCTTGATTCAAGCGAATAATTTAACGAACGTAATAGTATTTACTATGTCACAGGTAGATGGTTTAACCGGTCAGTTATGTTGAAGGTCAGACTTATTAATACAACTAAACCATGTGCCTCTTTCTCTTTGTGTGGTATTAATACCCTCACATATCGTCTCGTGGATGTAGTTACGACCGAGGGGAATGATACAAGATAAACGTACTGCACACTAACCTAAATTATAAAAATAACAAAACGAGCAAATTTCTACGTCAAATAACACTGTTTGTAATGTATTATGTAGTTTACCGACGCTACGACCTGCAACAAGCGGGTGGCTATCATTATGTTCCTCAGTTCCAAAAGGTCGTATCGCAGGGTAGGTGTCATTATCTTCCTTGAATAAACTCTAAAATCATAAAACTGTAGTATAGTTAAGTCGATGGATGCAGATGGCAGGACAGTGTTTTGTGGTATTCTTTGTTCAACCTTCGACTTGTAAGGGCTGTGATATTGAGATATTGATAAGATTTGCCCTTTACTAAAACAGAAACATCCAACAAACTCATCCTCACTCCTAATTGTATTTTTACAAATGGCCAATATTTATCAGTTCTATTGTTTGATATTTCGTCGTTCACGTTTACATGGTAGAGCCATGCTGCAGCTATATTATGGTTGTAGCACGAATGGGCCGGCTCGACCGGGTGGGACCACGCTCTTACAAAATACCAGCGTGATTTTTTTCTCTTTGTTTGGTTGTTTCGTATGGTGAGTGTAGAGAACCGGAGACCCTTTTTACTGGAAACGAGGCGCACTCCATCTTAGTCCTCAGGGGTAACAACAACGCATATTCGAGTATAAATGTAGATGTCTATGGGCCACAGCATTCACTTACCATCAGGTGGACTGTGTGCTCTTTTGTCATCCTTATTCTATAAAAAATGTTACGCTGACCGATATAGCCTAAATTCTTTTAGACCTCCAATTAACTGGCTTATCAAATCATCGTGCATTTTTAGCTAGACAACACTACAACGTATTTAAGAAAAGTTATAAACATTCAGAAATATTAATAACTTTTCTTAAACCTTTTAAAACCATAAATTTTGATTCAAATATTAAAATAATCATTTAAATATTAATATAAAAAAAATGAGTGATTAAAATGAATATCTCAATAATTAAAAAAAATATTTGATTTAATTATATATTTACAGTAAAAACGGAAATTTGTTGAATATTGATATATTTTTGATTTAATTATGTTATTGATTTTTTAAATACTAATATTTCGGGTGTAATACTCCGATCAACTTGCCTATGGACTCCGCTGGGTTATGTTTAGTTTCCGGAATATAAATTGAATATAGTTTATATATCCACTCACTGTTAAAAAATATTTTAAGTTCAAGTTGAAACACTTGCTTCATAAATAGCATGATAAAAATATTTTATAAATAACTGTAAAATAGACAACACGAAGTAACATCAAAGAGTATGTGATACTCAGTTGATCCTTTCCTACTACATTAAGCGTCAATTTTAAATTTAGAACGCGTCAATTATTTCATGCGGACCGCCACAGACAAACAGAAAATGATTTAGAAGAGTAGTTAGTCATACGTACATAGCTCTTATGACCTAGACATCAAAATTCGATTTGAAAGATATATAGCTAACCAATTACAGGTTTATGCACATTTTAATAAAGTTATCAGAGATAATACACATTACATACACATAGCGTTATAATTGCTATGCCGGGGGTGGGTAGGATCCCGAGGAGCAGCAAGTTACTTGGAACACGTTTAGCCAAAAAATATGGGTACAGATGGAGCAACATGCTAGGCAAGTAATACTGTTGGCACGTTCTTTTTTATTATAAGTAGCCCATTAACATGGGATCACCAACATGGGAATGCATAGGTACATACATTCTGATTATGGATGTGTTACATTGATATAGTGATCTTTTACTATAAGTGTGTATGTTTCCTTCTCAAAACATGAATAAAAAATAGTTGCTGTCTATCTAGATAGTAAAATTACATTTCATTTGATTTAATTACTTCCTGTTTTGTTAACACTAATGTCAACCTTATCCAGACTCCTCATTGAAAGGGTTTCTCAAAAGGAACGTTTCTATGGTCATAAAATCAGAGTATGCCGCAAATGGAGTGTCTGTACTTTGTAAATAATCCCTTACGATTTCTAAATCCTTTAAAGCTCTAGTTTTTTTAACCATATTCTCTGCATCACTGGACTCTGGTTTATCCGTCCCTATTGGAAGTAACTCTTCTTTCTCTCTTTCGCGTGATACAGGATCAGTGACTTTATGATTCCCGCCAAAAACAGATCCGTTCGTCCCTTGACCTGTCAATAGTTCTTCGTCAACTGTTAGGTACATGTCAAGATGTGAAAGATCCGTGAAATATGGCTCGACATCGTAATCTCTTAAAAACTGACATAACATTTCTTCTTCATTGTCTATAAATTTTCGCCTTTCCGGTGGTTCATCTAATTTCTTTACGTCATAGCCTGTAGACACAAAACCGGCGTTTATTACATGCGCCGGCAAACGTTCCCAAGCTTTCTCTAACATATTTAATGCCTCTAGACAAGTCATATTTCTATCTACCCCCCTTACAGCATTCATAGCTTTCTCCATAAGAAACAATCTTCGAAATTCATCACGAAATTTGGTAAATATACCGTTTCTAACAGGTACTAAACCGGATGACGCCTTCCATGGGACAAAGACTAATTTTAAATTCGACAACACTAGCTTAGAGTGAATTGTTGCTCTGTCCAGAATGAGCACCGCTTTTCTATTCTGTACTTGTAGTTCTCTATTCCAATATTTGACATATTCTTCAAACATTTGCGTCGTAAAATGGGCTTGAGCATGTCTTATATAAGTCACAGGTAATGTATCTGGGTTCCTATGAGAATGCACTAAAGGGTCCTCTGTACCACACACAACTAACTGTTTTTTATCACTACCAGTCACATTGGCACAAATGAAAATAGAAAGACGGTCTTTCACATACCCCTGAATGAATTTCTTTCCCGACATCTTTTTTATTCTGCCTTTTGATGGATTAAAATAGAATCCTACTTCGTCTCCCGTGTAAATATCTTCATCAGCAATTCCAAGACGGACATCACACCAGGTTTCTTTGAAGAACAGGTTTTTCCATTTACATCCAAATGCTATATTACTATAGTCTCTTTTAGGTGGTGTTCCTCGCAATGAAATTTTATATTTCGCTTTGAATCTATCCAACCATTTTTTACTACCATTAAATGCAACAAAACCACTCTCTTTAGCAAATGTTTCAGCAATATCCTGCAACATTTTTCCTGACACTTGCACGTCGTTCGCTCTTTGGTTATGGAACCACTCAACTATCCTGGCATCGAGTATGCTATTCATGTATTTTTTGCCGGCCTTCTTTGGTAGAGCATAGTTATCTCTATCCTCCCAAATCTCATTCACGACTTCGGGTGTCAAATTGTACAGCCTACAGATGTCAGACACGGTTCTGCCCTTATGCATTTTGCTGACAATTGCACACTGAGTTGCATGATTCAGATCGTCCCTTTTTAAATAGACTTCAAAGCTGTTCGACATGTTTTGGTTGTCACTGACGTCGTTTTCTTCAGAGTCTACTTCAGATTTAATGAGATGCGAAGGTGAAGATGTTTTTTCTTTCGTTTTTTTTCTTTTATTTTCATTTCTGTGAAAAATAAAGCATTTAATATATATTAAATGAATCCATAAATTTCTACAAATCATAATGATATCTAATAAGTTTCATGTTTGGCAGTTCAATGAAGAGAGCAGCACACAGGGGCGTAGCTACCGCCGTATCAGCCGTAACAATGATACGGGGCCCCCGGGCTACAGAGGCCCCGATTGTATGATTCGTCAATATACAAACGGCGTCGTCTGTTTGCAAACGTTTGTTGGTCTATGAAATGCCGAAGGCAAATTGTTATGTTGTCGTCCGATCGTAGAAATGGACATATCCTGATGTGCCTGAGCATTTTATGACACGCCGCCATTTGGCCGATGATGTCTTGTCATGATGATGACACGACATCATCGGCCACTCTGCAGACGACATCAGGATTATCGACGGGATGATGCGTGCGGTCCATCCGCTACGGATCAGTGGACTGACTTGTTTGAATTACTATACGAAGAAGGTAAAGTCCAGTGTAAAATTGACTAAATGGAATGTGGGACTTTATAAAAACAATATTTATTCATTTACAGAAACTACATACCAAAAATGGTTAAAATTTAAATATACAAATGGCCCCTGAATGAGAGCTATGTTATATAAAATGTAAATTGTAAACATAAATTAATAAAAAGGTAATTGTGGATTGAAAAACATATCTAGGGCATAGGGTAAGCATGTTAAGTGAAAAAAAAAGGATTTTACTCTTCTTCTCTCAGTGGCATAACATAAATTATGATAGTTGATTAACGTATTATCTCATTCTGTAAATAACCATTTCGTCTGTGGTTATTTACAACATTTTCTCCATAGACATTTTTTTCTGCCACCAGGGCGGCGCCACTTAGAATGAGGTGAAATATTTGACAGATTTCATAGCAGGTAAGTTAACGCCTTAGAGAAGTGTAGTGATTAGTTTGTTTCTGAAATATTTGCTATATTTTATATGAATTAGATTTAAAATGTATAAATTACAGTAGAAGTAGAAGAATTAAAAAAAGAGTGTTATCATGTAATGGTGGTTTAAGAATATCCACTACCCCATATCATCGCGAGGGTGCCGTAAGAGGCGACAGAGGGTAACAAATCAGGAGATGGGCAGCAGCGTCTTCCTAATAACAACTAACAATAAAAACTGGTTGCCATCCCGCTCGCCAAGCGTGGCAACTGTGGCAAATATAACTAACCCTATGAGACTATCTATGGGGGAGGCCTATGTTCAGCAGTGACGATAAAGATAAAAAATGTGTCAAAATTAAAGGATACAGCACTGCGGCATTGTTTTGTGCATATACATATACTCAGATTCAAACTGATAAAGAAAATAATCAAGAACTTACTTTGTAATTTCTCCAGAATTTTCTTTTACTTCATGCACACGCATATGTTCTTCCAACAGACTCTTTGTATGGAACTTTGACGAACACTTTGGACATGGCTCTGTCGGTTCATGTGAATTCATATGTCGGAGCTGAAAGGAGTTTTGTTTTTAACAGGAGCTTTATTTAATATCGTGCGAATCAGTAATAATTTATAAACGTTTAATTTCTAGATTCCTAGGCGAAGAGTTCTTTTTATTATTGAAGGGAAATTACAGTCAATTTTGTAGCCCGTGGAAGGAAAAGGGGAGATCTCCCGCCGGGCAAGGTGTTCTGCCCGGAGAGCGACCAACGCTCTGAGTGGTAGTTCGGAGCTATTCTATATATACTGCTTTAACTTCGGAACTTTGTTAGCGCGATTTAGGCTTCGATGTGTTTGCTTGTGACGTGACGACAGCGCCGCCACATCACCCCCCTGCTCAGACCGGAGGTCGATAGTGCAGTCCGATTGCCGCTGCGTCCTTAATGCCGGTGGGGAATGCATGCTGTGTGCGGTCAGGCCAAGTGACGCCGGTGCGAACGTTATGCCGGTGTGTAATGCATGCCGTACTACGCACTTGCAAGTGATGCCGGTGAGAACGATGAGCCGGAGCAAGTGCCAGGGATTGCCTTGTAGTCTGCGGTGAGTCGAGAAGAAGGCAAGTAATCTGCGAGAGTGCCGTGAAGCAGAGGCGAGCAGTAAGGTTCAGAACCATGCCGAACAGTGTAGCGCAGAGAGTAGCTTGAAGGAACAGGAAGCATTATTATTCCAGTGCTGCGATGAAACTTTGTAAAGCTAGATGGCTTGCAGAATGTGAAGACTGCAGACAATATCTGCTCGGAAGCGAATGAATGGGGTACTTGAGGACGATGACGAAGGTTTGAAATTGTAGTTACCGAAGGTTGTTGGTTGCGTGTTCATATCACGTCGATTGGTCACCAATATGGCCGGTGGAATGAAAAGGGGAGATCTCCCGCCGGGCAAGGTGTTCTACCCGAGTGGTGGTTCGGAGCTATTCTATATATACTGCTTTAACTTCGGAACTTTGTTAGCGCGATTTAGGTTTCGATGTGTTTCGTTTGTGGCGTGACGACAGCGCCGCCACAATTTATTAACTTTTCTGTTATGCTGAAGATTCCATTTGGATAAACTTGCTTATCTGATATTGGGCTTCAAACTATGAGGAATATTATTACATAGGAAAGTAGATTAGGAATTCGTCTAGGTAGGTATCACTTTCTTATCTATTTCTACTGCCAAATAGCACTTCTTAAGCCGCGTATCGATTACGCGCTCCTGGCGCGCGCGCCATGTATGACCGCTCCGACCAGTGCGCTCCGCGGAACGGCTGCACTTCAGCAGCTGCCGCTTTCACAGTTCTATGCATCTTCTCTGAGCGTTTATTATGATAAAAACTACTTTTACCATACCCCAGCAGTACTTTTAAACTATATAATTGTATTAATTTACGGCAACTTTGATTATCCATAGCTCGGAACGCAACGAACACACAAATAATGAAAACAAACGTCCCAACTGGCGCGCGCGCCAAAACTTAAACTACTTTGATGCGCGGTAAAAAACCGTCACCAAATGGAGCGGCACGCTCCACGTTCGAGCGTTCCAACGAACAATTTGGCGCGCGCTCCAAGGCGGTATCCATTTCGCGTGGCTGGAGCGCGCGCCAATTATCGACCTCTTGGAGCGCGTAATCGATACGCGGCTGTGTTCTGATCTGCAGCATATAATGTCAGTAGAATTACAGGCTCTAACTTCAGTTTCATAAAAAATCTTAACCTATACCTATGTTTAATACATTAGGATTCTATTCATTCAATTTCAAAAATATAAATGTATAGTTTTTTTAATACAATAAGCGTGACAAGACAAGCACAGTCCACCTGGTGGTAAGTCGATGCTGTGTTCCATAGACACCTATGTTTATCTTCAATTTAGTATCAAAATGAAGATACATTGTCACCCCTAAGGACCCCAGATAAAATGTGTGCTACCAGTGAAAAGGGTCAATGGTTCTCTACACTCACCATATATAACAACAGCTTTAAGTGGCTATTTGATGATAGGAGAGCATAGTCACTAAAGTCGAGCTGAATCGTGGCTCTACTACATCAAAAAATATACAGTACAGTTATAAGGCCATAATCACTTCATCATGTAATCATTATCTTTATACGTATAAATGTGAATGTTTCTTTGTCAATTTTCTATATGTTCCATTCGTTCGATTACAATGAAACTTTGGTGAGTAGTGGGCGCGGCCTCGAATAATTCTAGTAATAAAGAGCATTACATCACTTGCCGGGAACATCTAGTTCTGTAACAATTTCGATACTTACCATGTTGATTTTTAGGGTATAAGCAGCGCCGCAGATGGGACAAATTTCCATCTTCTCCATATGTACACGACTGTGTAAACGAAGACTGAACGCCTTGTTGAAATAACGCCCGCATGGCTCACATTTATGTCTGGAATGAATCGGGGTACTGTGACTTGTTTTGTTATTATCACAATTGGAGATGAGTTTGTCATATTTAATGTTTTTCTTCTCAACCAACTTCAAAAAAAGTTTCAATTCAACTGTTTTTTAATGTGTTTTACCTCAGACCTTTTTTCCTAGGTGAACCAATTTTGATGATTATTTTTTAACTTGAAAGCTGGCTCTTTTCATGTGGTCCCATATGAATTTCATCAAAATCTGACCAGTAGTTTTTAGTTATCCTTAACAATGCATATTTAATTGACTTAGACTACATTGATTTTATTTATACTTGTATTCTTTTGTAGAGTCAGAAACAAATACACAGTCAATCTAATGGTAAGTAGTTACCATAGATTTCTAATCTAATCAATTATCAATTAAGAATTAAAATGCAAATGCATTGTAACCCATGAGTACTATGACGGAATGTCTAACCATCTGCGCTTACTAGAAGCATTATGCTGCAATTTTACACTGGCATTCTATTAGTGTTGGATTTCCCTATTTGAGCTGACCCATTCATGCCACCGCCATAATATGGCTGCAACATGGCTTCGTCTCCAATAGATTGCCACAAAGAATAATCTTGAGTCGTCACGTACATTTATTGGCTTCCTGCCAGTATGAGGTGGTTAATTCCTTTAGTAAGTTTTGTGTTAGATTCACTCAGTATAGCATCCTTCTTCCTCATTAGCCCTTGAAATGTCCACATCTGGACATGGAAGTACAATAGGAGAATTATTGAACAGATGATTTTTGTCTTTACTCTAACACTTACCAGGTGGATTGATGATCACCTTTACAGATCTCTTACACCTTTAAAGATGTTGACTCTCGCCAGTGTCAGTATTTTATGTCTGGTGTAAGCAAGTCTAATCAGAGTTGTAGTTAAAGAGATTATTAGTTAATTTGGCTTCTGAGTTTAAAATTAATTAAAACAATGTGTGTGTATAAACAGTAAAGATATTTAGACTGTGAAATTTAAAAAGCGGTGTGACAGTATACGAGAATTTGTCTCTCCCATCTTGCCCCTGATTGTCATAATAAGCAACTATATGAAATGTCAGGCAGACCTCACAGCCGTCAATAAATATCAGTAATACTCTCTAATATAAAAATTAATTCTTTATCAAAAATGTAAGCATGTAGTTAATACTAGTTAGAATAACCAAAATGCAAAGTAGATATCTGTGTATTGACTGATTGATTACAGTCCCGCAGTCTGGTCCAAGAGAATTATACTGTTTAAGTATTTGGAAGATGAAAAAAGGAAGGCAGGCCTGGAAACTTGCAATGCTTTAGGGCCTTAGCTATGTAGGCTTAATTGGAATCTGGTTTATTTTAGTACTCTTAGCAAAACCTTCAGTAAGAGAAATAATATAAAAGCTTTTAGAAAAATTTACTTCGCAAATATCTGCATTATAAAATAAAATGATGTGTCTTACCTAGTATGAAGAGCTGTATAAAAGGCACTTGTTTTGGCTCGCCGCTCACTTAGCGGTTAGCCAACGTAGTATCTATATCACCTGAGGATGCCTCGTGTAGAGGCGAAACACGTGTCGTATTATCGTCAGTGCTGTGTCTTGCCTAGTGTAGTGGTGTTGGGAGTGGCGGTGCTGGGATTAGTGGTGACGGGGATAGTGCACGCACGATTGAGGGAGGGCGGGAGGTGCTCTTCATACTGTAAGACAGATCATTTTATTTTATAACACAGATATTTGCGAAATAAATTTTTCTAAAAGCTTTTATATAATGGATTTCTGCAAAGTAACGCCTGATTCTATTAATTATAATAAGAGAAATAATTTATAATAAGTATTTGTAGATTTGTGGTATCTTGTAGCTATGAAACCATACCTTTTGCATGACAAGGATGTATGTGACAGTTTTGAATTAATACATACATAAACTCACACCTGTCACATAGAAGGGCAGGTATAGACATTGGACTTCCATTTGGCATCATCCTGACACCTATGAGTACAAGCTCTCTTAATTAAATTAGAAGTTTTACTCACCTTGTAACAACTTGGTGTTCTTTGGCATGTGTTTTTAGATCTACATTCTGTTCAAATACTGCATCACACTGTGGACATTTAAATAATCTTTTCTTTTTTGGTTTATCGGGTGGCCTTCTTCTACGTTTCGGTTTTGGGGGCTTTGGCTCTGATGATGTGGAGACATTTTCTTTACGATACTGTAGGAATTATGAAGTGATTAAGGTAAAACACCAAATTGAAATATTACTACCATGCATATTTAATTATGTAAAATAAATTTTTGAATGAAATGATGAAATATAGCAACTAGTTCTGAATAAGTGAAGTTTTTTACGTGGTAGAGCCATGCTCAGCTATATTAGTAGTAAAGTTGTCGCACAAATGGGTTGGGTCGACCAGGATGGACCACGCTATCACAGAATACCAGGGTAAAATGGCAGCTTGACACTGCTGTGTTTCGTATGGTGTGTGTAGAGAACCGGAGGTCCATTTTACTGGAAAAGAGCATTCTATCTTAATCCTCACGGGTGACAACGCATCTGAATTTTGATTCTTTATTGAGGATAAATGTAGGTGTATATGGGTCACAGCAACCACTTACCATCAGGTGGACTATACTCGTATGTCACCCTATCCTATTAAAAAAAGTAAAGATTGACACAATGACTAAAGAATGAAGTGGCACTTTCAATATTAGTAACTTATAACAATTTTATATTTCTGTATAAATAATAACATTTAGTGTCAGTCTCATGGAGACTAGCCAAATGCACAAGCAAGTTTATAGTTTACGAATGTGTGCACCAATACAGGTGCATTCTCTATGCTCTCACTCTCATAGTCTGTCTGATGGGACAGTAATCCAACACGACCTGAGAGAATTAAGGCACAAGTCCAATGGCTTTGCGTGCTTTCTGGGGCAAGAGGGTGGAACACTGCCAAACTTCTGACTCTGGGCTGCTACTGAGAATTTCTTGATATAAAAACCCAAAAACTAATTCGAGCCCAACCCGACGGGGCAGTCAATCAAACACTGACCCAACAAACCCATCGTCACAAAGTATAGATGCATTAGTAAAAAAGGGCAAAGCTCATAGAATATTGTAATACAGTTGGAAGTAAAGTGAATAGGATGTTATTTACCCCACTGAAATCCAATGGACCTTCGTCTTCGTCTTCTACTTCCTCAACTTTTACATGTACGAGTACTTGTGGCATTAACTGTTGATCAACATAGTGTTTTCTTGGTGTTCTTTTCCTTTTATTAGCTTTCTTTTGGACCTTACTTTTAAGAACTGATAAGACTTCATCTTCAGAAGAAATTTCGTTGTTTTGCGTGTTTTGTACCGCTGTTTCTGACGACATTTTAAGGAGATTTTAGTATAATTAAATTCTTGTTATGTACATTTTCATACATATTGTACACAATCAGAATGTAAATAAAAATAAATATTGAATATTTGACGCCATTTTTGATAGCTGTCAAAAGCGGTGCTGCCAGAACCAAGTTTTTAATTTCCATTACCGTCTTCAGTGAGCGAAATGAGAGCTAATAATTTACCGCTCACAAGATAGCTAGTTTTTTTTATAGGAGAGGGGGCAAACGAGCATGCGGCTCACCTGATGGTAAGTGACTACCGCCGCCCATGAACAAGCGCAACACCAGGGGAATTGCAGATGCGTTGCCGGCCTTTTAAAAAGGAGTAGGCTCTTTTTTTGAAGGTCCCTAAGTCGTATCGGTCCGGAAAAATCGCTGGTGGTAAACTATTCCACAAGGAAGTTGTGCGAGGAAGAAAACATCTTCTAAATCGCACAGTGGTGGACCGCCAATCATCCAGATGGTGTGGATGGTATCGGGAGTTCTGCCGCGATATGCGTTCGTGAAATTTGGCGGCTGGGATTAATCCGAACAATTCCTCAGAGCACTCCCCATGGTAAATGCGAAAGAAAATGCAGGCGTTGAGCTGGTATGAACTACTGTCCCGCTCTGCTGAGCACGCCAAGCTTTTTAGAGGCCAATTTGGCCTTCTCTTCCAAGTGACCACGAAACTGCACGTCACTCGATATGTCGACGCCGAGGATTCCGATACTGGCTGAGGCAACAAGGGGAGTACCTTGAAACTGAGGAGATACGACAAAGGGGTACTTTTTAGCGGTAAACGCGCAAACTTGTGTCTTCTGAGGATTAAACTGGATTAGATTTAGTCGCCCTCAATCCGAGACTTTGTGCAGCAAAGACTCGACTTCAGACACAAGTTTGTTCCGGTATTCGGTGACGTTTTCCTGAGAAATATTGGCACGGCCGGTGTATAGAGCATCTCCAGTGCTGTCATCCGCATAGCAATGAATGCTACCGGCTTGCAACATATCATTGATATGCAGAAGAAACAGCGTTGGTGATAGCACGCAGCCTTGTGGAACACCAGCGTTAATAGGCTTGTAGTTGGAGCATGCACCGTCTACAACGACCTTGATGCTCCGATCTGCAAGATAGCTGGTGATCCAATTGCATAATTTCTCGGGAAGGCCCATAGGAAGGGAGCTTCGAAAGAAGCGCTTTGTGCCAAACCCGATCGAAGGCCTTCGCAATGTCCAAACTAACGGCCAATGCCTCCCCCTTGGACTCTACTGCCTCCGCCCATCTATGAGTTAAGTAAGATCACCAGCTGATGGACCCCGACGATAACCGTACTGGAACTGAACTAAGGTGGTTATTTGTTACATAGTGTCACTCTATGTGATTTGCTTTATAAATAAAATTTTAGTTTCTAGTATACACCTATATACATAAAATAACGCCGCAGTGGTTGCACTTTAATTTTTTGCACAATTTTTTAATTCTGATTCTAATTTTAATAATCTGTTTTTGGGAATATCTGCAGTTTGGTTTTCCATTTTAATCTATAAAATATACCTAGTAATTCATCAAAAAAATCTACATTTTTCTAATGAATTAGAGGGGGATCTCTTATGAAATCTGTCAAATATTTCACATCATCCCTAAGTGGCGCTGCCCTGGTGGCAAAAAGTAGTGGATACTGTCATTGCCATGATTCTGTGGAGCATAAACATATTCATCGCCAAAGCATGAAAAGAAAATAAATAAGACAAAATATGTTTGAATATAAACAAAAACTTTGATTTATAAATAAATAGCAATAAATAATGTCTCAATGAATATACAACCGAAAAAATTTAAGAAAATTTTACGGTAGGTGACTTGCGACATTTACACGGCAATCACTGATACCGGGCAAATTTGTGACTTGCCACCGACTACACAAGTAACTACATTACATCTATCTGATGCAAAACCAATCAAAATATTTTGTTTTGAACAAAAAAAGTGCCACGTGCAACTGCTCTATAATCATTGCTGTCTTCAGACAATATTTTAAAAGGGGAGAAAGATTTTATTTTTACGAGTATGCACGTAGTTGATTTTCAGGGGGCGCCAAAATTATAATATAATATGGTTGAATAAAAAGCGCCTAGTTTCCAGCGCACGTTCTATCAATAATAATTAATCACTTGATTTTAAAACACCATTCAGCATTCATTCTGCCAGCAGTTGCAGCGCAGTAGATTATTGGCAACATCCAATAGCGGGACTTATAATTTAAAAGATTTATTAATTCTATAAATAATTACCGTTAAAACAGTTTTTTTTAAATTTATTATCCTTATTTTACCATAAAATAAATAAATTATTTAAGAATACTGCACATTACCTACGACATTCTGTAAGCTGTGAGCGAAGCTACAGTAAACTGAAAATAATTAAAATCTATCTGCGTTTAACAATGAGTCAGGAATGTCTATCTGGCCTCGCGATTCTGACCATAGAAAATAAAACTGCCCTTGAGACAGACTGACGAGAAAATAGATTATTTCGCAGAAAAGAAAGCACGCCGTGTAAAGCTGTAGTAAAAAAATGCTTAAATCCAGTTTCTAAATGTCTTGATTGTCTGTTGTCTTTCCTGGTTATATGTTTTCTACATATAATTTTACGTTACACAAATGAAAAATGATTAGCTAATATGTAATAAAGAGTGCAAGTTTTTTTTTAACAAGTTATCTCAAACGCTGAAGAGGATGCACCACTATCAAGTTTTTGCCCCGGTTCACAAAAATCGTAGATCTGGTGCGGAAGTTGCCCATATTGAGATGTACATATCATTTCAGTATATCGAAATAATGAAACAATCTGATCTATCACTATCAGTGGCCGTTTTTACCACAAACTATTAAGATGTGTCTTATGTTGTTGTAAACGTCAATTTCTTTTGTGTCGTAATACCAGAGGTTCATTAAAATATAATATATTATGATTAATGCACATTAATAGGGGGTATAATATTATAACTTAATAATATAGTTATTAAGAATGGTATGGTTTTCTAAACTACTATGGCAACAAATGTCACGTCAACTTTAAAAGATATCACTGTCATTAATGGTATGAAAAAAAACCAACGCGCTTCGTTTCTCTTTTGGAATTTATGGTACTGTAACAAGGCTCGCTTTTGTGTTTCACCACGGAAATGTTGAAAAATTTCGGTACAATCATGTCAACAATGCGCTAATAGCGTTTCTATTGCAATAATTCAGCGTTTACACGATATTGAATGTAAGACTATTCGTTTTATGGATCAATATCGCAATTGCCTTGTTATGTGTCCCTAGCGTCCCTTCTGCAAATGGAGACCAAGTCCGGCGTCGGCATTCAAGATCATTGGATGAAGAGTGTTATGGAGCCGGCCGGTAGTGAAAAACAGATGCAAAACGACAATAGATCTAATGTGAAGCGCGAAATAATGGCTGAACAATACAATGGTGGTGGTGACAATAACGTAACTTATGAGATGAAACAACAGCAGAATGAAACAAGGTATAGATGTGATGTGTGCGATTTAACATTCGAGGGTATGGAATTTTTGATGCTCCACAAGAAATTTCACGGTAATGACAAAGATATTCCGCAAATGGAACCTGAAGCTCCACCAGTAAAAGAAGGACCGAAGAAGCGGCGTAAATTTAAGTGTGATCTATGCGATGTTAAAGTGAACTCACAGTACCACCTCGATATACACCGCAGTAAACATGAAGGTATTACTTCGAAAAAATATATTTGTGAAGTTTGTGACCGTAGTTTCGTCGCAGCACAGTTCCTAAAAAGCCACATGCAAACCCATTCTTCAACTAGTACTATTAACTGTGAGATTTGTAATAAAAGTTTTACGGGTCAAGCATACTTAAAACTTCACATGCAGCTGCATAATGACATAAAAAAATTCAAATGTTCAAAGTGTGACGAAATGTTGCCAACTAAAAACTGTTTAAAAATTCACATGAAGAAGCATACAAAAGTGAAAAATTTCAAGTGTGACTTCTGTTCAAAATTATTTGTATCTAAAATCACTATGGAGAAACATAGGCAGACTCATGAAGGACAGCCAGTCGACTGTCTTGTAAAATGTACTCAATGTGATAGAACTATGCATTCATCATTACTGAGGACACATATTGCTAGGGCTCACCCTCCTAATGTTGATGATGATGTGAAAAGACCCCACAAATGTTCAACATGTGGTAAAAGTTTTATTGTTAAGATAAACTTGAATCTCCACATCAGGGTTTGTCACCCAGACCTTGCCGAGCCTGAGGATGAAGATGAGGATGTCATGACAGATAACTCTTAGTTTTAAGTTGTATAACCATCATGTATTATTAATGGATAATAATTATACTTTTTTTATGCTAACAAATAATTCTGTATTTTATTTCATTTTAAATTTAATGAAGTTAAAGGTACCTTGCTAGATCTTTCAGAGCACAGAATACAAAAATTATTTATAAATCAGTACTCTGTTTTTAAGTACCATATTTTGTGCATGCCTTTTGGCTTCAGTATATTTTTATACAATGCTCACTTATGACAATAAAATTTGATAACAATGTACATTTACTTTTATTTTTTAGCAAAATTTGTTCCAACCTAAAATTAATATGCTTTTCCCTAAAGAAAATTAAAATTATGAATTAATTTCAAACTAATGGCTTTTTATTTTTATGTTGTACTTTTTTTTGTATATATTATTGACATTATTTTTTTTTAAATTATGTGAGATTTAATTTGGTAAAAATATTAATGTAAAAAGTAAGATATACAAGTTTCCAAAAACTGTTTCATTTTTAAAAAGTTGTGTCATGTTAAAAATCGTTATAACTTTATCCAGAACAAAATATTCATTATTTTGCAAGTAATTCTTGCCTAAATCTGCGTTTCTGGATATTTAGAGAATTTGAAATTTTTAGGGGTTGACAACCTTTTTTTAACTTTTACTCTTTTTACTTAGTGGGTTTTTAAAACATACACAATACTCTAATAAGTACAAAATAATAGCTCTCTAGCTAATTAATTGCCCGAAATAGTTGCATCCATGCACATATATAACGGTGGGTGCTGGATCCTTTTTCTTTTCGACCATTTCAGTGCATGTACCATCATCATCATCATCATTACAGCCCTTCACAAGTCCACTGTTGAACATAGGCCTCCCCCAAGGAATGCCACAAAGCACGGTCATGAGCCACGAGCATCCATCGACTTCCTGTATATCTTACCATGTCGTCACTCCATCTAGTGGGGGAACGCCCTACACTTCGCCTGCCGGTACGAGGCTGCCACTCGAGAACCTTTTTTCCCCATCGGTTGTCGGTTCTTCGAGCCATATGGCCGGCCCATTGCCACTTCAGCTTACTAATCCGTTGGGCTATGTCGGTCACTCTGGTGCTACTGCGGATATATTCATTTCTAAGTTTATCACGCAGAGAAACTCCGAGCATAGCCCCCTCCATAGCTCGCTGAGCGACCTTGAGCTTCCTCATCCGGCCAGCTGTGAAGGACCACGTTTCAGATCCGTAAGTCATCACTGACAACACGCACTGGTTGTACAGTCTCGTTTTCAAGTTTTGAGGTATACCTGACGAGAAGATGTGCCGTAATTTCCCGAACGCTGCCCAACCGAGTTGAATCCGTCTATTGGCCTCTCGGTCGAAGTTGGACTTACCTAGTCGGACTTTTGTCCCAGGTAAACTTACTCATAAACATACATGTTCATCTTAAGACCTATCCGTTGGGAAACACTATTGAGGTCATTGAGCATAGTGCTTAGGTCCTCCAGCGATTCTGCCATAAGGACTATATCGTCGGCAAATCGAAGGTGAGTGATGTACTCGCCATTGATGTTGATACCGCGTATCCTTTCCAGTCCAGAAGCTTGAAAACGTCTTCCAATGCAGCGGTGAAGAGTTTCGGGGATATGACGTCATCCTGTCTTACACCTCTCTGCAATTGGATAGGTTTCGTACTCTGGTTCTGTACTCGGATAGCCATCATAGCTCTACTGTACAAGCACTTCAAACTTCGATATAATAATAATAATAATAATAATAATAATTTATTTAAATAAAAGTACAATAATAAAGTGAAGACTGATCCCCAAACTAGACAAGTCTGTATCTTAGGGATCAGCGGCCTCTCCCAGTGGTGTGACAACAGTATCTTAAGAATTATATATATCTTAAGAATTAATTAAGTAACTAAGCTTAACATTTTTAAGTAACTGTTTAGCTATTTGAATGTATTTATTTACAACGAAACATAAACTAGAACTAAATGCGACTCTTTAGTCGTTATTATATTTTATATAATCGTAGGTATATTAAAATTAGTTTGCAATTTGTAATATATATATACATACACATACTCATAGACATACATACATACATACATATATACATATACACACATATATGTATATATATAGAATATATTATTATATAATTTCATACAGAATATATATTTTATTCATTATAACCTATAATGAATAAATATATGCTTTAAACAAAGACTGCTATTTTTAATTTCATAATTTTAAAATTTTATAATTTTATTATACTTTTATTATACGACATACATTACTTACACACATTTTTACAAATTATATTTTCTGTTTTACTATAATCAAGGGACAATAACCAATCTCGAACTTTAACTTTACATTCATGTCTGGAAAGAGGATAAAAATTTAGATTTCTATTTAACTTATTATAAAGCACTGAGGATAGGTATGAACTTTGTCGCCTAGAAAAAGCAGTTGGACATCTGCCAATAACCAGTACATCCGGTATTCTGCGTTTATTACGACAGATCTCAGGGTCATAAGGAGTTAGAGCATGTTTCATTAAGATCAACTGTTGGATGTACAATTGCCTGACAGTCAACAGTTTGCATTCTTGGTAAAGCAGATTTGTAGGATACCTGAACGGTTTAAAAGTCATAGTTTTTAGGAGACATCTTTGAGCTCTTTCTAATTTTATCATAAATGTTTTGCATGCTCCACCCCAGGCAACTATACAATAACCTATAATTGATTGTGCTAAGGCGTAGTATACAGTTCTTAATAAATTAAAGTCAGCGATGTGCCTTAGCCTTTTAAATGTCCAAATAAGTATCCTAGTGCGCGATGAAATAAGGTCTATGTGTGGGAGCCAGCTTAGTTTCTCGTCTATAATTACTCCGAGATATTTAATTGATTTGGATTTCATCATTTTAGGGCAAAGGCAAGTATCTGTTGACTGTGAACCACAAGAGTGTACTGTTAGTTGTATATCGTTAACAGTTTGGGTGTTGGTTATATGGAACTGCATATAGGTGGACTTAGATATATTAAGAGTCAGTAGATTCTCCTCAAGCCAATTTGCCACAGTTTGAAGATCCCTCATCGCAAACTCCTGGATCTCAGGCCAAGTCTCTCCGTAGAAAATTAAGGCTGTATCATCAGCATAAGTAAATAGCTTGCCTTGACTTAGTGTCATTGAGCACAGGTCGTTAATGTAAACCAGGAAGAGATTTGGTCCCAGGATACTGCCCTGAGGGACTCCAAACGTGACACAGGCATCTGAGCTAATAACTGTTTTTATTTTTACTCTCTGCACACGGTCATATAGAAAATCCTTAAAAATAGAAACATATAATAATAATAGATATAATACCGATAATCAACTTGGCACCGCTGAAGGGACAGCAGCACCGCCTAAATTTCGACGGAATCAAAGGTTTTTTCATAGTCCACATACGCCAGACATAGTGGCAAATTGTACTCCTCGGACTTCTGTACAATATGCCGAAGGGTATGTATGTGGTCTATGGTGCCGAAGCCTTTTTGGAAACCGGATTGTTCGGGAGGCTAGAAGTCGTCAAGTTTGCGCGCGAGACGATTCGTAATGACTCTCGAAAACAGCACGTAGACGCGGCTCAGAAGGGAAATGGGTCTGTAGTTCTTCAAGAGAGCGTTGTCGCCTTTCTTGAAGAACAAGACCACCGCACTTCTGCTCCACGCCTCCGGTGTAGTGCCACCATGGAGGACGGAATTAAAGAGCTTCTGAAGGACTTCAAATACCGGTTTTCCATCCGCTTTCGGAAGCTCTGCTGTAATTCCATCCTCGCCTGGGGCCTTGCCGTTTTTAAGGTGCTCGAGAGCCATTCTAATCTCGCTCAGACTGACGTCCGGGATATCATCCGAATAATATCGGATAAGACTCTCTCTTGGATCGTTACTCACACTTGCGTGTGGCTCCAACGATGATGTGTACAGCCGCCCATAGAACCTTTCAATCTCACTCAAAATCTCAGGTGTCCCGGAAATGAAACTGCCACACTCGGTCTTCAGCTTAGACAGTTGGCTCTTTCTGGCAGACAGATCTCTGGCAAAGACTGGAGCCCTGGTTCCGCTCGATCGCTTCTTCAATACGAGCAGTGTTAAAGTTGCGTAAGTCCTGCCGCATGCATTTGGAGATCTGTCTAATCAATTGCCTGTATGCTGTCAAATCTACTGAAGACTGCAGCTTCATATCCCGTCTAACAGCCATGAGATTAAGAGTGTGATCGGAGAGTTTATGTGTTCTTCTGCGGCGGGTCTTACAAAATTTAGCTCCGACCGCATGGACAGTTTCCACGAGCTTGTCATTCATATCGTCCACTTCATTGCAATCTTCTAGGCACTGAAAACGGTTTTGTAACTCGAGCTGAAAGGTTTCGGGACTTTGGATTAGAGCACGAGGGGGACGGAGCGTTGACTTCATTAGACGTGACCTCTCCAACTTAACGCTTAGGTTCAGTGTGCCTCTCACCATTCGGTGATCGCAGCCGGTTTTCACCCTCGCGATCACTGTGACATCACTGAGCAGTTGTCGTCTTGTCGTCATAATGAAGTCAATCTCATTTTCTGTCGAACCGTCGGGGCTCGACCAGGTCCACTTCCTGTGGGGCCGCTTCTGGAAGAAAGAGTTCATCATAAAGCGTCCCTCTTTCTCCATGAAGTCGGCCAGCTGCTGGCCCCTTGGGTTCCGTTGCCCTATTCCAAATTTCCCTACTTTCAGCTCACCGTTCTCTCTTTTGCCTAGTTTTGCATTGAAGTCTCCCATTAATACCGTATAGTGGGTTTGGAGGTATGCATGGCTTTAGAGATATTCTCATACATTTCCTCCACCTCCTCATCGGGGTATGCCGAGGTTGTTGTGTAAACCTGTATGACCTTCAGCGAATACCGTTTGGTGATTCTGAGTATAAGGTACGCAACCCTCGTCGACACACTCCCATTCTTTACAACGTTGTTAACGAGAGACTTGTGGACGA